TTATTACTAATAAATAAGTAAGTTCTTCTTCTCGTAGTTATTATTAGTACGGTACGGTCCGTCCGTTCGTTTCGTTGTCGTACACACCACACACAAATATATATATATATATATATATATATATATATATATATATATATATATATACACACACACACATATAAATATATATGTTTATTGAAGCCTCATCTAATAGATGTAAATTTTGTTATTATTCCAAAATAAAGAAGGAAGAAAGTATAATTTGGAGAAAGAAAATGCTTTAATTAAATGGTTACATACTGAGTCAATCATCCAAGATATAAACTTCTCAGTCTTATCTTTGAATTTACTTTTCTTTCACTAAAATCTTATATGTTAAACACGCTGATATTTTTCCTTCACAAATGTATTTTAAAATAAGAATGAATTTAAGTAATGAAAATGTTACCTTTCCCACGGATGTCTTCCATTAAAGCTAAAAGGTAAAGCTTCAGTTATTCTATTTTATTGTATTTCTCAAAGAAAAGCATTAACAGCCTTATGATATAATTACAAATCACACCCGTAAGTCCTCATTGACAGAACCACAAAGGGAACACTTAAATTAATAACCCATGGTTAGTATTTGAAAGAGAAACTATTTAAGGTTGGAGCTTGGTGATGAAGCAGGCCTGTTCAGTAAAAGTTCTGGAAGGAAATTATGAGCGCAGACTCCTAAGGAGGTTGCACTGCTATAGGTCCGCGCATGAACGCTCGAGGAGATGGGCGACGACTGTCACTCAGAGTCTGCGAATCTTTAAACGCAAGCTGGAAAAACAAGGCTGCACCGGATTTTTATGATACTCTATGGTTACCGCATACAAGAAAGCACAAAGTCAATATTTTCACACAGTATTAGTTATTATTGTAATTTCTTGTTAAAACTTGATAATTAAATAAAAATAGGTGCTTTTTCTAAGCCATTTGGAAAAATTATTTTTAAAACCTTATGTGGATATTGATTGAGACGAATCATATCACACATGCAGTCCTTTATCGTGCAACACTGGTTTTCCCGTTTTCAAACTTAATAGGGGCTAAGATGCATATTAATTTGGAGATATTTGGTGGAACACATTTCTCTCCTCCATTGAGATATGATTAATAATTATAATATGTAATGTCTAAACACTGTCTAATGAGCCTGAAAACACTAAGTTAAACAAACATATTAACCTTGTAGCCCGCGTTGGAGTTAGTGTTCTGTGCAACCAAACGCGCCCCATGGCAGAGTCAACAGTGCTGGGACTTCGCGCCTGGGCTGAGAGGACTTTGCTTTTTCTGTATTTCTTTTAACTGGGGCACCAAGGTGTACTCAAATTGTTTTAGTTCAACAGAAACTGTTTAATTCTGAGAAGCCAAATGGAATGGTTTATGGTAGGGCATCTCTGGCCGAGGGCCGTTCTGACCACCGAACTGTGAGGGCTGTTTAGGAGGAAAACAGAAGGGCAGGTGCAGGAACTGAGAGCCCCTCTCAGTCGTGGTCTAGGGTTGTTCTCAGCCAAGCCTCACCCCAGGCTTTTAAAACAAAGTCTCCTTCTTGGGGTGGTTCTGTCCTTTATTAATCTCAAAGAAATTCGTAAATAATCCTGTTTAGCATAA